CCATTGGTTTTGAGGATTCCATTGGTTTTGAAGGATTCCATGGGTTTTGAGGATTCCATTGGTTTTGAGGATTCCATTGGTTTTGAAGGATTCCATTGTTTTTGAAGGATTCCATTGGTTTGAAGGATTCCATTGGTTTGAAGGATTCCATTGGTTTGAAGGATTCCATTGTTTTTTAAGGATTCCACTGGTTTCAAAGGATTCCACTGGTTTTTAAGGATGCCACTGGTTTTCAGGATTCCATTGGTTTTGAAGGATTCCATTGGTTTTAAAGGGTTTAACTGGTTTTGAAGGATTCCATTGATTTTAAGGATTCCATTGGATTTGAAGGATTCCATTGGTTTGAAGGATTCCATTAGTAATGGATGATTCCAATGTTTTGAAGGATTCCATTGGTTTTAAGGATTCCATTGGATTTGAAGGATTCCATTGGTTTTGAAGGATTTCATTGATTTTTAAGGATTCCACTGGTTTCCAAGGATTCCATTGATTTTGAAGGATTCCATTGGTTTTTAGAATTCCTTTGGTTTGAAGGATTCCATTGGTTTGAAGGATTTCTTTGGGTTTTTCGGATTCCATTGGTTTGAAGGATTCCATTGATTTTAAGGATTTCTTTGGATTTGAAGGATTCCATTGATTTTGAAGAATTCCATTGGTTTTGAAGGATTCCATTGGCTTTGAAGGATTCCATTGGTTTGAAGGATTCCATTAATTTTGAAGGATTCCATTGGTTTTATGGATTCCATTGGTTTGAAGGATTCCATTAATTTTGAAGGATTCCATTGATTTTAATGATTCCATTGGCTTTGAAGGATTCCATTGGTTTTGAGGATTCCATTGGTTTCAAAGGATTCCACTGGGATGATCCCTAAAAACCAGAATATCCAGGCTTGGGGCAAAAGGACTTTAGTAGGAGAGAGGAAAACTGGATGATTGGAATTGTTTTCCAGTGGAAAACCAGTATTTAGGAAAACTGAATAATTGGAATTGTTTTCCAATGGAACACCAGCATTTTCTCTAGGAAAACGGAATTATTGGAATTATTTTCCAATTGAAAACCAGTATTTCCTTTAGGAAAACTGGATGATTGGAATTGTTACCCAATGGAAAACCACTATTTTCTCTAGGAAAACTGAATGATTGGAATTGTTTTCCAATGGAAAACCAGTATTTTCCTTAAGAGAGAGGAAAACTGAATGATTGGAATTGTTTCCCATTGAAAACCAATATTTTCAATGGATCATTGGAATTGTTTTCCAATGGAAATCCAGCATTTTCTTTAAAAAAATTCCTTTCCTGGCGCTTTGATCCGAACCCTCCAAACGCTCCCGGGATTGTTTTGGACGTTCCTAAAAATAAAACCCCCCAATATTTACGTTTCCCCTCCCCGTTTTAGCATCTCTTTTTTTAGGGCTTCTCCCTCCCCCAAACCTAAACCTGCTCTCCGTGTTTTCCCCCTTGGACAACTTCCCGAAAAATCCCTTTTTTTTGGGATTCTGGGAGAAGGGGAAAGGATCAAACCTCCGACGGGGAAACGGCGCCGGGGCTTCCAAACCACGTCCGGAGAAAGCCTTTTTTCCTTGGAATGTGCTGCTGGCACAGCCTGGGAGTGACACACAGCTGGCTCCAGAGGGAAATATCCCAAGTTTTTTTTGGAACAAAATTTTATTGGGCAAAGGAAAAAAAAAAAGGGGGGCCCAGGCCAAAGCCGGGATTTTATTGCGCGAAGTCTCGCCGGTTCGAAAACAAAGCTCTGGCTTTGCTCTCGTGGCTTTGGGTGGACGGGAAAGATGTTCCAGAGGGGAAATCTGGGAAATATCCCGCTCCAGGAGGAGCCAGGAAAGCCAAAAAAAAAAAAAAACAAAAAAAGGCCTGCTGCTGTCTGGGTTTTTACTGCCGGTTTTCTTCTCTTCGATAAATTTAAATATCGGGGAATCTTGGAATCGGAAAGGTTGGGAAGGACCTCTGAGATGATCCAGTCCAACCCTTGATCCAACCCCGCCGTGGTTCCCAGCCCGTGGCACCGATGCCACATCCAGTCTGTCCTTGAACACCTCCAGGGCATTCATTTATTACTACATATTTCATATTTATTATATAGAATTAACATTTAATTCATTATTAGTGCTTCTCCCCTGCCTACAGAAAAATTCACGGCTTACCCGCGACACTAAAATAATCTACATCATCTCTCCCCCTTTTTAATAAATGTGAATTTAGACAACTGTTCGTCGTGTTCCCAAGTCCTACATCAGGCAAAGACTGGAGAAATCCGACTTTTCGGGCAAGCGGATGTTTCCTACAGCTTATCCTGAATATTTTGGAGAAAAAATTCCGTTCAAACAACCCCCCTAATTCCCCTATAATTATAATTTCAGAGTCTTCAGGAAAAAAAAAAAAATAGTTTTTATTCCTCTCTGCACCTCCAGCCCCTTTTGGAGGATCCCTGGATAATTTGGATGGTTCCAGTGCCATGATTCCCCTCATTTGGAATCAGCCCGTTCTCCCCCGGCCAGGGCAGCAGGATTTTGAGGATGAGGTGCTTTTCCTTGGCTTTTCCCTGGAAAAGCAGCAAGGCCCATTCCATAAAGCTCCTTCAAGGAGCCGTGATTTTTTTCCCTCTTCTCCTTCCCCAGCAG